TCGTGCCTCAGAACACCTAGTTGAACAGAAAGAAGACGCGCATGCAGTTCCAAGTGAGGCGAGGTGGAGCTGGATGCCATGCCTGAAGAGTTGCGGGCTGATCGAGCAGCTTGGCTCGGAGCAAGCCTTCTTTTCCTGCAAGGATTTTTGTTGCATGATGTCTCCAAGGACATTGTTGCCGCGGCGCTGCACGCTGATGGGCATGCGCTACAACACGCCAGCAATGTGACTTGAAGAGTCAAGCGCAAGTTCATGTTTGAATGCATGTTGCTTCTGCTGTTGTTGCTTCGCAGCTTTTCACCCGTGCGTTTGTTTGCTGGCTCCCTTGCTCTCCTTGTTCGACTCAAGAAATCTCACAAAACCCTCAACCGGCTGGTTGAGGACTTGAAGTCAGACCGGCCATTGGTTCTTGCAGCTGTACGGGAGAATGGCTTGGCTTTGAGCCATGCTGCAAAGGTAAGCCGTGTCATGCCGTCCATGAACACTTCTCAATCCAGACACTTTTGATAGATACTTGACACGAGTGACAAGAGCAGCCAAAGCCACTGGTGACCTATTCGGAGGTTGTTTCACAATGGTTTACCTGCAGGAGCTTTGTGGAGATCAGGATGTCGTGCTGACCGCTGTGAGGCAGAATGGCCTCGCCCTACAGCCGCTTAGCTCAGTAGAGCTTAGTCCCAAAAGAGATCCCACCCATGGAAGATTGCACACGATTGCATCGTAAAACTCACTGTGCTTGATCGCTTATCAATGACCAGTTCAAAAACCCCGGATCAAGGAAGAAAGCATCATTTCATTCCGGTGATGCATCAAAATGCATCAAGCTCGAATCACAGAAATAAATAGCATTCTACAAATAGAGGTTTGAAAGTACAACCTTTGCATCAAAACCCGCGAGTATCAATCACCAATGTTGCAGGTTGGCAACGCTAAGCCAAGTTCCTGCACGAAACAATCTAAAGAGTCTGTTTCACATGTTGACTGGCAATTCCTAGCTTATAGCTTCTCGATGGGGCCTTGGGACTGCAACAATTCAATTCGGTCCGCATTCCTTAACTGCAGGAGTGGGGTAGTGGCCCGCCTGCGTGCCTAGTGTTGCTCCCGGAGATTGAACCCCGGTCCGATGCACCCTGGGTCACAGCCACTAGACAAAACTGGCCCTCCTAATCTATCAAGTTTATGTTGGAAACCTACAACGCGTGACACTAGCACGTTATTTGCTTCACTTATTTTTATGACTGGTCCTGGTATGTCCTGATCAAGCACAAAAGTGTGGCACATTCTGAACTACCATACCCCGCAGGTTGCACACGCCAATGAAATGTTGCAAACCATGATGTGGACCTTGCGACGGTGTGACATGCCTTTTCATTCCTGCTGATGTATGAAGGTTATGTAACTCAGGCATGCTTCCTCAGATCTACGTGCCTCTGCGTTTGTCGTGCTCGAAGCCTTAGCCCAAAACTCTCAGTCCGCGCGCTTCGTGGCCCGGGAGTTGCTGGATGATCGATCCTTCGTGACCGGAAGCGGGTGACGGCTGGGAGCTTTGTTCGTAGCGATGCCCGAAATGCCCCGTGCGTAGCGTCCGATCGCTCCCTTCGTAGCAAGGCCAGGAGCCCCGATCGTAGCGTCTTTGCTACTAGTAGTCATGGCCTCCAACCTTTCCTTTCGCGATGGCCTCCTACCTAGTAGCTTCTTGCTATTAGTATATAGCCGCCCTATAAACATGCGGCGATCTCTGAGAGATCGAACAAAAGTTAGCAATGGCGGCAGATAGGAAAGATTGAACAAGTCTTCAAGAGTCTTTGTGGATGACTTGGAGATGACGAAGAGGTATTGGTCATGTTTCTGATGTGCAAAGTTGCTCGAAACAGGTTGTCACTGTTGTCACTTAGCTCGCAGGATCTCCGCTGCACCTTTCTCCCGACGCATTTTCGAGAAAGCTTCGTTCAGACTGAAGCGCAATTTGGACGTCGTGTTGGAGGTGGTGGATTCTTGGCCATTGCGATTTGAAAATGCCTGGTAAGGGTTCCAAGTTTCCAAACATACCCACTCATGACACAATTACGCCTTTAGTGAACACATTGTTCCATATAGACTGCCTGGATTCGTCTCCCACGATTCAGAACAGGAGGACTTAAGCATTTTTCGTCAATGGCTTTCTGCGTTCTCAGAGCACCCTGGTTGCTTTGCTTGGAACAGGATCCCACACACGACAACAATTCATAAAGAAAAGGAGAATTGTTGTGAAAATTTGGGGTCATCTACATACGGGGATGAGGAGACGCACCACTGGCTGCATGAAGATGCATGAAGTGAGAACTAGACAGAACTGGATCAAGTTTCTTCATGATTCTTGCTACTATTTTGCTTCAAGATCAGGAAGCTGATCCATGCAACAAATTGGAGTCGTACCAAGAGTTGACCACATCAGAGAAACACCATATAGTGTTACACAAGGTCCTTTTGTAGACGCTGGCCAGCCACTCACCATCCCTCACCTATCAAACTTGCTGAAGAACTGGGAATGAGAGGAAGGAGAGGTTGAGATTGATATGGTGCACCCATTTTGGATGGAGGCAAGGTTGAGGGCAATTAGCCATGCACAGATGGCGATTCTTGAGCCCATGGGCAATCTCAGATGCTGCATGAGGTGGGGATAGCTTGAGGTTTCGGCAGTGGCAACGTTGGATTTGGAACACTTGCGGCTTGCATGAAGACATTCTGTGCAGCAGAGGGGTAGGAGTAGACTTTGCGCACACCAAGAACAAAGGAATGAAATAGTACCTCGTGCATCAGAAGATTTGGTGCAAGGGATGCAGTGTAGAGTCAGATTCTAAGTCAGGGAGCTGATCGCGTTGGGAGGATCAGGCATGAGGATGCTGCTTGTTTCACTGAGTGGGCCTTTTCAGACGACAAGTTGCATGATCAGCACCATGGAGATGCAGTAACTTGCCCTTCAGTGGCACGCTTTGGAAAAGAATCACGAAGCATCTCATGCGCATGACCATGGCAGTGGCTACATCACTGGCAAGGAGGCCAAGTGCTATGGATGATATAGGTTGGTTGGTTTTTTATGTCTTGCGCAAAAGATTTAGAGAAGGCAATGATCCAGTGCAAGGTAGCGGCTTCACGTGCTGATACGCTTCACCAAGCGGTCATGCTGTGGACACAGAAGTAGGGTCCAGCAACCATGAGGAGGTCCAGCCCCTCAAAAACAGAGGGGGTTGAGTTCTGGAGATTGAGGTTGTGATTGGAGATCTCAGACGAAGAGTTTGATGATTAAATGGGGGTGGGCAAGAATGCTGGGTGGGACTTGAGGATCATGAGAACTAATTGGGTTTGTGACTCAGCTGCTTCAACTTTTGCCTTGCAGGAAAGGCTGATTTGAGGCCACAAAGGAGCGCGGAAGGGATATATAAAGAGCAACTTTGCCCCAAAATCAAGCTAACGTGTTTGTTCAACCCCAGGATGTGCTTTTTCCAGGCTCATTGTGTCAGTGGATAGGTTCCTTTGAGGGCCCAGGCGCTTGCTTGATCTTACAGAATCCGTGGTATGAAGTGCAATGAGTTCAAAGTTAATCTCACGCATTGAGGGAGCTCAAGCTAGGAAACCAAAAGGATATTAGTATGTAAATGAAGAATACGCCGCTAGGACAAACAGATTATTCTTGATGGTTAATGGACAAATGAGAGTTGAAAAATGGGGCCAAAAAAAACAAGAATGCAAGTTTCGCCACAATGAGGGATCTAAAAGTACACTTTTTGAATCAATACTCCCGGCCTTAGCACATGTGTGCCTTCATGTTCAACAGAAATGGCAATACTCCCCGGGCTTCGAGGGTGTCCTTGAAAATCATCGCACGGCCGCCAGCAGGCGCTGTCACCGTGTGTTTGGCATTAAAGACCAGTAATTAAGAAGGCAGAGGAGATTGGCACACGAGTTGGTAGGATCCATTGAATCTATTGGCTCACCAGATCTGAGGAACATGATCCTGACAGCTTCATGTTTGCAGCCTGGGAGCTGCGCTGCGACAAGTTCAGCGTGAAACAGGTGGTGAGCACGGCAGGTTGTGCAATTGCTCATGCGTCTCCAGATTTGCGGCAGGAGCACAGATGTTTGCGATATGCACGGAAATGAACACACACGTCATGTCCAAAGATTGTAGGTCACGGAAAGCAGACTCCCTGCCATAAACACAACAAATGCATTTGCATTATAAGCATATATGTTGCATTACTAGCTCGCTGGAGGACCCAGAAATCCTGGCAGTGGTGGTCTCAGTATTCAGCTGTTGCCAAAGCATTGAGTGGTCAATCAGAATCAGGTGGCGGTTGCCAACGACCCTTTGGCTGTGGCAGCAGCTAAAGTCTGATGGATGCTGTACATAGCAAGATAGTTTTCGCAGCAAAACCTGCACCAGCATTAGAGACTGTACGTGTGTGAGCGTCAAAGCTGAGAAAGAGAAAAGAAAAAATATATATATATGTATATATGGAAGTCGTTCCAAAACCCGCATAACAGAATTTAGTAGCACCATTTTCTTATTGGTAGTAGGTAGCCTAAAGCCTGTATCGCGCATTGTTCGTGCAAGGCCGGCGCAAGGTTTTGCTCAAGGACTACTTACTAGTTACCTGAATTTCTACAAACATTTTGTATATATGTTTCTTTTTTATTTAACCGCCGCTGGCGTGTTCCGCCGGCTTTCCAGGTGGCCATGTACTTTGTGCCTTTGGGATGCATGCAACGTGGTTGGTAATGTATTGCAGTGTGACTCTTCACGGTTTCATGGCCTGGGCTCACAGGAAAGTTGGCAAGGCCATGAGTCGAGCTAAAGGCAGATGAAACACACTGTTGTTAGTAATGTGTCTCGGAGAGAGATACAGATCAGACAAAATAACATAGGAGAAGGGATGCAATGTATAATATTATATAACATGGTAGAGAGGAGAAGGGGGGGGAGGGGGGGGGTAGCAAAAATCCGCGCGTAGGGGAAAGACTTACAACACAACAGCAACAGCAACAGGAACATCCACAGAACAAGCCGGCTACAGCCGGCGGATTTCAGTCTGCCAGAATTTCTGACATCGATGCAAATATATAGCGAAGCAAGCACTCGCCCGTAGTCACTGCCTTGTATGCGCAAGTGATCTAGGACGGCTTTGGTGAGTAAGATTTGTGTTTGAGCCGGGGGCAACGAATGTGGGTGGTGAACTCCATGTGATCTTTGGTGTGGCCATTTTGGCTGCAGTTGTTTCCATGTCGCATGCCTCACTGGCGAAGCGTGGCAGCCGAAGGAAAGTCTCGAATGATTCCCTTGCTTGGTTGCAAAATTTGATCCAATGCGAAGATGGTGAGGAGATCAGCGCAACTCAACTGTCGAACAAGTTGATCGCCTTCTACTTTTCTGCTTCTTGGTGTCCCCCATGTCAATATTTTGTGCCAATCCTGGCCCAGGGTTACAAGCAGATCCGAGACATGCATGGGAGCGAGGCTTTTGAAGTGATTCTTGTACCACTGGATGTTGATGAGACATTGTGGCAGCTACACATGGCCAAAATGCCATGGCTCTCCATACCATTGAAGAACCGAGAAATTATCGTGAAACTCTTCACTGCACATTGTATCACAGAGGCTCCACGTTTGATCATCATGGACTCATCTGGCACGCTGGTCTCAGACAATGCTCGCGGGGGTGACGGCTTTGGCTTTGGCTGCGACCCGTTGCATGCCTACGACAAGCTAGTTGAGGAATTGGTCAAAATGCAGAGGAACCGTGAGGACTCTTCCAAAATCGAAGAAGAACCTTCAGAAATTGAAGATTGAATGAGGTGGAATGTACAGCCTGACATGACTATGGTTTTGCTTGCGTATATACTTTGTATCGCTTTGTATCGCAAACGATGCTGTAGGTCATTTCATGATGTGTGAGTCAGGTATTGGAATCTATCAATCCGTAGAAGTCATGAACAACATGACCGACTGATGCCGAAGGCACTGTCGATGACTTGAGCCCTTCTAGCGCTCAGGAAAGAAAAAACACAGCTGTAATCCAATTGCCGTGAGCCCGCCTACCATGTCATGTCGTGCGCACTGCACAACTGGTGAGAAGAAGACAGACATGGACTCAGAAGCAAGTTGCCGAACGACCGACAGCTAGACAGGCCCGAAGGTAGTGAGATGGGGTTTTCCAGTCCAGAAGAAAAAACTGCAGTGGAGCAAAAGCCTCGTGAACGACTTTCAACTTAGCACTGATGGATGGGGGCAAAGATATGTAAAGATTACTTGATTATACAGCATTAGGACGCTATTAGGCCATCGCAAGTAGGTTAGAGGCCATCGCTACGAACGTGGCAAGAAGCTAGTAGTAACTCCCTAGATCTCACGCGTCGTCCTAAGAGACTCCAGTATTCAAGAAGGGCCGAGGGTGGCATCAAGTCCTTCTCATTCAGAATGGCACTTGCTCCAATAGCGCTAGACCGGACGACCCATCAAGCAGGCTTTTCTAGAAGCATGTCAGTTGCAGCTACTTCTAGAAGCAAGCCCTTTTGCCCACTCCAGAGGGCTTTGCGGCTCCAGCATACCTCGACACCCATCCTTTGCTCCGAATTTTTGCATCCAGGGCCACTGAGACGGTTAGATCATAGCTTCAAGGGGCGAACATGGGCCATGGTCATGGAGGTAGGAGTTCAGCCGTGGCCATTGGTCTCGCAAAGGGTAAAGGCTTTTACTTCAGATGGTCATGGAACAGCATTTGATTAGTCATAGCTGTTGGTTTTTCTTTTCAATCTCGCTGGTGCCAATCACCGCTGTTCAAAGCAACACTGCCAGCTGTGCATTCCGCAAGCAAGGTGGACGAGGATGAGGGTTACAAGGCTGAGCGCGCTTACGTCGCACCCTCAGAGACCATACGTCGCACCGTAACCTCCCCACCAGAGACCCGTGCACCTGCATACTCCGGCTAAACCTTAGGTGGCGCTGTTGCACGGAGAAAGTATGTGGCTGAGCTTTCCAACATGAGCCAGAACAAAACTGCTTGCTTGTGCCAATCCATGCTTTTGGACCACCAAGACAAAACATTTCTCCTGTATGCCGCGTCGTTTCAGCCTGAGTTAGGACAGCTACGTTGTGGAGCATCAAATCATGGTGTCATGAGTCTCGTCATGACTGCTCTCCATACTGCAGCCGTGCTGGCTTATTTGGTTAAGAATGCGTTTGTTGTCAACTCAGAGAACCCAGGCCCATGACCCAGGTTTTTTCATATTTAAACATATTTCAACCCAGCTGTTCGGAAAGGAAAGGAGTCATTTATATAATTGGTGAAGCACCAATTGCCAAGATGCTTCAGGCGCGATGAGGGCCGGCGGACCCCCAAGCAGCCATCGCAAGTCGACGAAGGCAGAGATGGAGTCATACTAGTAGCTTCCTGTTACTAGTAGCGATGGCCTCCAACCTACTTGCGATGGCCTCCACTTAACAGCGTCCTTGTTACTGTAAAATAGGCCACCACCGTCTTGATGGCAAGACCTTCCCAGCCTTGAGGCCCTTGGTGTAGATGGATTCAGCGCGAAGGTGGGGAGAAGATGGGAGAAGCAAAGCAGTGCTTTGTTTTGCTCCATGCTTTGTTTAAAACGCCAAGGAACAAGAAGCTACCAGGAGCATTTCGGGCATCGCTACTAGGAACAAGAACGCTACGATCGGGGCTCCTGGCATCACTACTGGGAGCAGTCTTACTACTAGGAACAAGAACGCTACAGGTGGTGGCTTGCTCAGTCGACTGAGTTCCACCGCTCGGACCGAGAGCACCCCATGTCAGGCCTCGGCACCGCGTTCCGCTGACACTCAGGCAGATCGAAAGCAGCCAACGGGGCGTTTGCTAAAGACATTCAAAAGGCATCTCATTGAGATGATGGATGATGCATGATGATGCTTTATGATATGATGGTCACTATGATGGCCTATACTTGATAATTACTTAATCATCATCACCATGCGTGATAGACCCAGACATTTTTCCACGACCAGGTGGAGACCAAGAGACCTCCTCTCCGAACCGTAGGTGCGCTTTTGCACGCCGGTGGTCGGTAGTTCCGGCGGACTCAGATTCGACGGTTTGGCACTGGACACTTCAATTGGACAACTGACTTGAAGCGGTTCAGCGGTTCTATAGATATATATATATATATAGTTGGACCGAGTATTGACTGAGTATTGAAGTTGGGTCGATCTTGTGCTAAAGTCCTTCATGGGAGCCCCTGAAGACGGTCGATGGCCTTTGGGTGAATGTTTAGCACGTATGTATTTTCCTTCATTCACTAGGTGACGCAGATGCGCTTTGAAAGTCAAGTGTTGCTACAGACATGAAAGCAAGCAAATCGCAGCCGACATTTCAGCCCGTCTAGCACATTGAGAACCTTTCTTGTAACCGGACCTAGATTCAGCAATGGAATGAACATAATGAGCATGGACCATGTCTTGGCGGTGACAATTTCAGCTTCTACGTCACTGTATACATTGGAACACCCTCCGGCCTTTTGGAATTGCCATTGCAGGGGCATCTCCGAGAATCTCGCCGCGGCTTGCCTATACCAGCTCGATGCCACCCTGGCTTTATTTGGCACTGAGCGATTGACCAGACAACCACTGGTGGGTTTTGTTTGATCCGAAGATGCTGGAAAGCTCCTGCTCAAAGCCCTGTTGCACCAGGCAGAGGCTGTCAAGAAACGCCTCACCGAGGAATCCACTTGAAGCAAAGGCCAGGGCTTGGGTGTAGAACTGACTGCGGCTGTCACAGCCAGTCCTCATGTTCAGCATTTTCTTCAGCCACATGCAGGTTGAAGCCCCTCGTGCCACCAGGACCCCCATTGCCTCTCAGGTTGGGACTGACACCACCAGCAAATCGCTTTCTTCCAGCCAGGAGCAGCTCTCCGCGGCCAAAGATTGAAGCTTGGACCCATCCTAGGACTTGACAAGAGTCTGGCCAAACAGATGGGGTTTATTGTGTTTGCTATGCTGCTGCCCACGAAGATCAGACCTTTTGTGAACCATGGCCTTGGGACCAGACACAGGTTGTTTCTTTGGCAAAGCCAAGCCCCAAAAGAATCGCCCGAAGAGAAACATCTCAGGCCTTTAGAGAAACACCTCGGCGTGGCCGCGAGGCAGGAAGTGGGCTAGTGTTTTGCTATACTTTGCTTTGAGATGATGGACTTAGCACTGTTTTGGAGGCAGCCAGACTGCCGTTAGTGTGTGTGTGTGTCTCTATCAGTCAGTGTCCTTGATCAAGATCTGCTGGTTCATTCAGAACCTGAAGGCACAGCCTCAGATGACGCGAACTTTCAGCCAGAAACTTGCTCAGAAAGAAGCGCACTTGCGTTTGAAGGGGTCTTGTTTCGGTCGAAATGTGGCTGCTGAGTTGCTGTTTGTCACTGTTTAGCTGTTTGATGTTGCTTTTCTCAGGAAAGTCGCCCCACAGACGCCTGAACGTGATTGGCGTCATGTTGATGCATCGCCGCTCTCCTTCATTGGAGCCACCTTGTGTGTGTGTGTGTGCAACCCTTGGAATCAAAGGGAACCTTAAGGTTTGGAACAGGGGGACGGGACACCTCTGGCATTTCCCGTCCAACGAAGAGGATGCCAGCAGGTGCTGATACAGTGGGGGACGCCCCACTGTGTACCTGTTCCACTACTTAGGAGAACAGGAGGAAATGGTACTCGACACACTTGTGTGTCGGTGCCTTTCCTTCTGTTCTCCTCTAGACTACCCTATAGGTGCAGGTAGGCCTCCAAACTTTGTAAGGGGCTCTTTAACCTGAACTTTGGCCTCCACCCACTAGAATGGACCCCCAACTTTTGCTGCTTTGCTGTCTTGTTTGTCTTGTGCTTCTTGTCACCTACTAGCGATGGCCCCCAACCTGCCTTCGACGGCCTCCAACCTAAGAGCGAAGACCTCCAACTTTGACCGCTTTGCTGTCTTGTGGTTTCTTGTCTCCAACCTACTAGCGATGGCCTCTCAACCTGCCTTCGGTGGCCTCTAACCTAAGAGCGATGACTTCCAACTTTTGCACCTTGGTTTACTCAGGCTTTTTTAACCCTAGGCTGGCGTGTGGCACCGCTGTCAAGTCCGTATGCATATCCATAAGTGTGTTTGGCCTCGTGCCAACCCGGGATGAGCCCGCAGAGTGCCTCCCGTGGACCCGTCGAACGGGGGTTTGTCGTTGTTTCCCTTGCTTTGGAAACGTAAGTGCCCACAGCTTGCGAAGGTGGCCTAGGCCGAGAGAACTCAGATTTTTGTCTCGTCTTTGGAATTCCAAGCTGGCTTATGCCTCTACGTGACCGCAGCGGTCAAAGCAGCCAGCCATGTTGGCACGGCGTACGTGGCCGCAGCGGCCGAAGTTTGTTCAAGGTTCATTGGAACCTGTGGAGAACTTAGCCCCCCTTCCCTCCCCCTTTCTCTCTGGGGTCTTCCTGAATGTAATACTCAGGATCTCCCCTTTCTTTCTTTGGTGTGTCCCTGAACGATTGTTCGTAGCTGGGAACACCTTCCTTTCTCTCCTCTCCCTTTCTCTCCCTCTCCCTTTCTTTCCTTTTCGTTTTCCTCTCTTCACCCTCTTCCTTGGGCGTCCCTGGATGCTTTCGTCATGGCTGGGAGCCTTCCTTTTTGGTGTGTCCTTGGACGCTTGTGCCGTAGCTGGGAACACCTTTGCTTCCTTCTCTCCCTCCTTCTCTTTTCCTCCTCCCCTCCCCCCTCTTTCCTCGCGCGTGGCGTATTTACAAGCAAACTAGGCTTCTGCAACAGGTTTCTCAATGAGGTTTGGACTGTCATCGGTTTGTCCCCTTTCATTTGGTTCCCCTTTCATCCGCCCCCACAGACGTTTTTCCCTTCTTTTCTTTCATGTCCTTCTGAGCAAAGTGCTAAAGGTCGGCGCTCACGTTTCTTCAAAAATGAGCAATTTGCATGTTCCTTGAAAAAACGATACCAATCCCAAAAACGATACCTAGCCTTGTGACGGTACACATCTTGGAATCTATCTTTGCCCGTTGACAATGTTGACACTCGAGACAGTGTATGTCCAAGGTTTTTTTGCATATGGTTTGCCATGCTAGCTGGACATTCCAGTTCATTTTTGCTAATTTTCCCTTCTTTTTCTTTGATGGGAAACAATTATGGTTTCAGACAGATACCAAAAACGATACCAAACGATACCCACTTCATAGGTCTGTATCCCCTCAGACACCACCTGCCCACTCACATGCCACTACTTCTATTTCTGCTACTACTACTACTACTACTACTACTGTGACGACGATGACGACGACTACTACTACTACTGCTACTGCTACTACTACTACTACTACTACAGCTAGTACGTAGTACTAGTACTAGTACACGACGACTACTAGTCATCATTTGCAAGATCACCTTCCAGAGCAAATTACATTTAGACGATACCTCCCAAAAAAAATTGCATATGGGTTGAAAAAAACGATACCAATCCCAAAAACGATACCATGCTCTAAACGTACCACCAAACGACCCCTAGTTTTGCCGGTCGCTCTCATGTCTCTTCATCCTCATCCTTTCTTTCTCTTGCGCGCACTATCGTCCGGACCTTAGTTTTTACACTTACAGCACGCACGCGTACTCTACTTACAGCGAGGTTCAGGTGGCCCAGGTTCGTTACAATGAGGTTTGGCTCATCGGTTGTCCCTCTTCACTTGATTCCTTTTCATCGGCAACCACACACACCTTTGTCTGTCTCGTCCTTTTCATTTGCATCTGTCCCTTTTGCGTGCGCATGTGCCCACCTCCTTTCCGGGCAGGATGGGGGCCACACATGCCTCCCTTCGGGGAGGCGTGTGTGTGTAACCCTTGGAATTAAAGGGAACCTTAAGTTTCGGAACAGGGGGGCGGGACACCTCTGGCATTTCCCGTCCAACGAAGAGGATGCCAGCAGGTGCTGATACAGTGGGGGACGCCCCACTGTGTACCTGTTCCACTACTTAGGAGAACAGGAGGAAATGGTACTCGACACACTTGTGTGTCGGTGCCTTTCCTTCTGTTGCCTCCAAACGTTGTAAGGGGTTCTTTAACCTGAACTTTGGCCTCCACCCACTAGAATGGACCC